AAAAAAAAAGAAGAAATACAAAAGGAGTGGAATTACTGGGACAATGTAAAACTGTTGGGAGCAAGAAACAGTCACACCAAGACAATGACCTGAACCTGTCTGTGGATACAGGGGTTGGCCCTTGTGTGTTTGGGATGCTGGAGACTGGCTCTAGGTGCAGATCTCCTTCTAAAGTGCAATGCAAAAGGAATTTTGATTATGCTTGAGCAGGTTTGTTTTTTTGTTTTTGTTTTGGTTTTTTTTTAATGTGGGGTTTTATTTTCTTTGTATGGTTTTTTTTTCTGCGATTATTAAATCATATGCATGGATTAAACTCTGCCATATAGTCATTAATGGGCATTATTACTGTCTTATGTAAAGGGGTTCTTTTGTTATGCAGAAAAATGTTCTCAGCCTTATGATTTCCAGAGCTGTATTATCCACTTATTTCTTCAAGGGAAACTAAACAACTGTGTCTGTAGTTGACCATTTTTGTGCATTTCGAGTCTCTCGTGCTCTGCTTTGCTGCCCTGCTGGGAAATTACACAGAGAGCAGCCCTGTCCCCACCCCGGGACCTGAGAGTGTCTCTCCCCTTATATAATTAAGAATAAAAAGCAGCACGTCCATCTCCAGGTGTTTTTCCCAGGACAAGCCCCTCTCTTACCCATGGTTTCCTTTCTGTGTGCAGGGGGCAGGAGGGTCCCACCCTCCTGCAGGAGGGAAATCTGCTGGATTTTCAGAGGAGAAACCACAGCAGTGAATATTGTCATCAACACCCATCCCAGGAGCCTCCCCTGGGCACCAGGGCAGGGGCTCAGAGGGGCAGGAAAAGGCTCCAAACCAAAATTACAACGGGGGGTTTCCTCTTCTGCCCCAGTTGGTGACTCCAGGAGGGCAGGACCTGACAGGGAACCCCCTGCCCGAGTTCAGGCTCCACCAGATTTGGTCCCTGGGAGTGAAAAGCCATTTCCGTAAATTAACGTTTAAAAATCAGCAAGATAATTGAGGTGCAAGAAAGGTGGGAAGGAACATTGTCCAGCAGCAGCCAAACCCCAGGAGGGGCTCACAGGGAATGGCTCGAACTGTTGGGAATTTCCCTAACACACTTAACAGTTGAACTGTTATTTCTGCAGAGCTGATAATGCATTTCTAATTCAGAGCGATTAGAAATGTCCCTGTGACGGCCCCAGAGACGCCGCAGAGAACCCCCCGTTGGTGGAGGTGCTGGGGGAGAGGGAGCTCTGTGTGTAATTTCTGGGGCTGCAGCTCCTCAGTAAATGCCACTCCCATGGAATTCTTTCCCTGCTGCATTCCCAGGGCTCTCCAGCCCCGAGTGCAGGAGCTGCCACATCTCTCACTTCATCTGTGCTTTAGTTTCCTTTAAGAAGTTCAAAGGGAGAAGAGGTGTTTCATACAGGCTGTTGACTCTCCCTGTACTTACAAATATATTACTACTTGTATATTCAGTTTAATTACTCCTTGTTTCTATTACTGAACGAAGACTTAACGAAGGGAATAAAAACCAACAGCAATAACATTCATATCTATGGAGCAGCTAACTCTATACATAATATTCTGCTTTTCAAACAGAACTAGCCAATGTAAAAAAAAAAACATTAAAAGTAAATTCAACATGTAAATACTTTTTTTCATTTTACACTGTTGTATTATAAGTGTATATGGTGTTTACTTTTTCAAAACTCTTTCTTACCTGGTAGTTGTCTTGTTTTATGAGTTGTGTTTTTAACTGAGAAGAACCTTTGCTGTCTGTTAGGA